AATAATAATAATAATAATAAAGGGAGAAATGTGGGATCCACATATAAATCAAGTATAAAAATCAAACAAATATTCATATTTGACCTGATTGTTTATAGTTCATAATGCGTGATCAAAACCGAAAGTTTCTGTGATGACTGCCCTTGTACTGTTCACCATGTTAGAACTTATTCACTATGTAAGAACTTGTTCACCATGTAAGAACTTGTTCGTTAATGCTTCAGAAGATTGGAGACTGACAAGAATTAGGCTTAGGGTGGATTAATGATTGTGCATTGAGCATTGACTCCCCTATACAGAATTTTATTGTTGTTAACAACCATTTGATCAATAAATATGAGAGATGCCCTCTCAAAAAAAAAAAAGTCATGTAAGTGCTCACTGTAAGGTAGATTGTTGGTTTCACTATAAAAGAAGTTGACTGATAATCACTGCATCATGAAATGTTCCCTCCCATGCCATATCACCTCTATGAACTGATAAAATGCTTCAACAGGTTCCCATGGTACTCAACTAAAATGCTAATTCCAAGTTACCAAGGCCTCTCATAATGTGGACCTTACCTACCTTTCCAATAGCATTTCCTTGCCCCTCTTCACCTTGCCTCAGCTACAGACCTTATGACAATGTAAGGAACTTTCGGCCTAACAGCCTCTGAAGATACTTTTGCCTAGGTTCAGAACACTGAATGACTGACTGTATATGCTTCAATAAAATCATCTTTCCCTAGACATGTGAAAAGTTTTGAAAAGAATGTGGAAAAGGATGTAAACAGAGTCTCTTTTCCCTCAACATTTTTCTTCAAAGTGCAATTTAATGGGGGAATGCTTCAAGAAAAAGAGTTGACCAAATTACTCTGTTTTCTCTTAGGGAGTATTTTCTCAGAACTCCCAGAAACAAAGGGAGCAGTTTCAATGCACATTTAAAAAACAACAGTTATCACACAACTTTCCAAGAATATGTCTATACTTACAGCTATAAGTGGAACTTCATTCATTCTTTCACACAAGTCAAATGCAAAAAGGAAAGCCAATAGTTCAAAAATGTTATGCAAGCAAATCAGCAACCATTGCAGATAGTAGCGTGAATAAATCCAAAATACTCTTTGGTGACTACTAGGAGTCGATTAAATACAATTCTTCATTATTGCAACTTTCTTCAAAAAGTTAAAATAAAAAATGAAGATATAAATAAACTTGTCTTCCTTGATTATTTGACTGAGCCTCACCCTTAATGACATTTTCCCCAGGACCATCTAACTTACAATTGCCAAAACATGGAAGCAACCATTGACAGATGAATGGATAAAGAAAATGTGGTGTGTGTGTGTATATATATATATGTGTTTGCATGTATATAAAAGAAATACTATTCAACCATGAGAAAGAAGAAAATACTAGCATTTGCAACAACATGATGGATCTTGAAGGTATTATGCTAAATGGAATAAGCAAGACAGAGAAAAAAAAGCACTGTATAAGCTCACTTATATGTGGAATCTTAAAAAGGCTGAGCTAAAAAACCTCACAGAAACACAGAACAGATTGGTGGCTGTCAAAGGCAGGGGTGGGAGAAATGAGAGAAGGTGGTCAAAAGGTACAAACTTCCAGTTTAAAATTTTAAAAAGTAAGATTAAAAATTTCTGGGGATGTAATATGTACAGCATGGTGATTATAGTTAACATTGTATTGTATGTTTGAAAGTCGTTAAGAATAGATCTTTAATGCTGGCATCATCATAATTCAGAATGGCAGTCATAGTCACTATCTATAGTTAAAAGAATGAGTGAAAAATAAATGTGTGAGAAAATTCTGTCAAATTACAATAGTAACCAATAGAAGATCCAAAAAGAGGGATTTTGCTGCTTCGGGAGGAAGGAGGAAGAGTTAGGATATTTTAATAAATAAGTTAAATCCTCTGATATTAAGGTAAGGAGCACTGTAGATGTTCTCTCTTGATAAGTCAGGAAGGATATGAGCATATTGATGAAATATGGAAGTAATATTAAGAAGAAACAGCCAAAAGATGTAAGTGGTTTGCAACTAAGCACAGGAAGGAGTGGGGAGGGTGGCTTTGCTTTTTGATGTATTGCCTTTCTCTGTACTGTTGGATTTTTAAATCATGTGTTATGTATCATTTCACATCCCACAAAAAAAAAAAAAAGAATAGATCTTTAAAAGATCTGCACAAGAAAAAAAAATTGTGCCCATAAGGCAATGGATATTAATTTAACATTATGGTAATCACTTCACAATATACACATACATCAAATCATTGTGGTGTATACTTTAAACAAATATAATATTATGTTAATTATATCTCAATAAAACTTGGGAGAAGGAAAGAAGTTATAGATGAACTAACCTCTCTTTCGTTGATTATTTGATTGAGCCTCATCCTCACTGATAGTTTCACCGGGACCATCTAATTTTGTTTCCCGGCTTGCTTTACTCTCATTGTTACTTCTCTTTTCAACCTTGTCTTCTCTTTCTTTTCTATTCTGTGGTTTCTTATTTCCTTGGCTGACACTCTGACACTGCAAAATGTTTTTCTGAATGAAATAATTTTCATGAACATTTTCACTAACCAAAATATTATGTAATGCTCCTTACCTAAATATTTCAAAGCAAATGACAACTTTTACCAAATATTTTAAAACAACTTTTCAAAAGACACTGTTAAAAGTTAAGCCACAGACTGGGAGAAAATATTTGCTAAGTATTTGATAAAGGATGTGTATCCAAAATATATAATGAACCTTCAAAACACAAAAATAAGAAACACCTCAATTCTTAAAAATTATATGAACAGGTGTTTCACCAAAAAATTATACTGATGGCAAGTATATACGAAAAGGAACTTGACATCATTAGTCAGAAACATGCAAATTCAAACTACAATGTAACACCTCACACAGCTAACTAGAAAGACTAAAATTAACAGACTGAGCACACTGATACTAGTGAGTATGTGGAATAACTAGAATTCTCACACTGTTGCTGGGAATCAAAAGTCTGACAATTTCTTTAAAAGCTAAACAAATAATTACCATATGATCCAACCATTCTACTCCTAGGTGTTTACCCAAGAAAAATGAAAGTGTACATCCATGCAAATTTTGTACACAGATGTTTATACAGCAGTTTTATTTGTAAAAGCCAAAACCAGAATCAACACAAATGCCTCTCAATAGGTGAATGGACAAAAGGCACTGTATCAGTGTACTATGCAGTGAGGACTATGCAGTAGCTCAGCAATAAGGAATGAACTACTTATACCATAATGGCCTAAATCACAAAGTAATTAAGCTGAGTGAAAGCCAGAAAAAGTGCATACTGTATGACTCCACTTACATAAAATTGTAGAAAATGCAAATTAACTATAAGTGATGGCAAGCATTTCAGTGGTTGCCTGGAATGATGGGGGAATGCAACAAGGAGAGTTACAAAGGAGTGTGGTGTGTGGAAATTTTGGGGGTAATAGTCAAGTTCATAACCTTGATTGTGGTGGTTTCACAGGTATATAAGTCAAAACTTACCAAATTGTATACTGTATATACGTGTAGTTTATTATATGTCATCTATGCACCAATTAAGCTGTTTAATATATATTATCTACAACTACACACAAATAATACCGTACAAAGTACAAACAGCAAAGGGTATGATGTGAAATGAAAACATGTAACCAGATAACCATATATGCTACTCTTCTAAAAAGCCCCTTGATAAAGTATCTCAGAACCATCTTTCAGAACCCCTTTCATAGTTAAAACTAAAAGTCCATTTATTGAACATATGTATATATAACACACATATAGTTAGCTGTTCAACACACTGAAAAAATTATAAGTCAAAGAAAACATATACAGCATAAATTCTGAAACACAAAATGGGCTTCAATAAGACATATTAAAAATTAATCTCTTTGTAGATATTAAGTGAAAATGACGGCACAGTATATCTTCCCCTTCCAAATGTAAGGTTACCTCCTATGATTATAACCAGATAAAGTCTATGTGATGAATAAAATCCGGTATCTGAAAAATGGGTAAGACTAAGCTGCTGAGATTTCAGTACCTGTTCATGACTGCAATCCTTGAAATGTGAAGTAAAATACACTCTGCATGTTGAAATGAAAATATTTTCCCTGTATTGAAAAAAACAATCATGAAACGATACTTACTCCAGTGTTCACTAATTCACTTGGTGTTGGCCAATCCTCCATATCGCTGAAATCACTAGCCTAAGAAGTAATAAATAGGTGTTACATCCGCAAATTAGAAATTCTAGATAGAAAAAATATTTTCTAAAAGTGAGAGCAATTTTTAAATCACATACATTTAACATATGCAGGCATTTGCCAAATTAATCCAAAAGGCTATCTAAACAACGTATCACTGAAATAATGCTTTGGTCTTATAATCCAACTTCTAGCACTTTTTAATGACATTGACTAAATTGATATAATCAGGATAAAAGAGGCATATGGGGATTTGGATAAAGGCTACAATTCCCTAGTACATTAACTTTAAACTAGCAATGTTACAACCAGAAGAAAAATATACTGTAATTTGGGAAGAGTTCCTAACATCAATTTTCAAAATCAATATAGTCAAGAACTATTTTGTGTAAAGACATACCTTGTTGGATTTCTTTGTCTTGAGTTTTCCTGCTTTTATAATTTTTGGGGAACTGAGCTCTAAAAAAATACATAGAATTGTTTTTACAACCAATTCATTCAATATATTAAACAAAATAACTATGATATCAATTTCACTAAGTTAGTGTAAACACCATTCCCAACAAAACCCAAAGTTCTGATATTCAAGTTCCTAACAAGAAATCAACTACAGTTCAAACACAGATTCAAACTGGTCTTCAGTGTTCATATCAAGAAGTAGGAAATATTAACAGGTTGCTTATAATGATCTGATAGACCAATCCTTTTGCTTAACAGAATACAAAATGAAAAAAAAAAGGAAAAATAACATTTTAATACAGGAAAGTTAACAACTCTATTCCCACTGGATATATTTTTCTATACAATTAATACATTTAAATACACGAAGGAGCATCCAAAAAGTAAGTCTGAAGACTTCAAACTATTTGTTCTTGAAAAGTTTGGCAACGATCATAGTTTGTATCTAGATTCAAGCCACAAAAAAGAGAACAGGTCTCTATAACAAGACCAGCATGGTATCTATCACCACTTGGCCCTACTTGGAATAAGAACACTGTGGGTGACAATAAGTTTTACACTGTCTTTTAGTTTGGTTCACTACCTAGTCAGATGACCAATATCATATCGTCTAGCAAAACATAACCTAAAGTAAATATTGAAAACTAGAACTTGGGACGTGCATCCACAGAAAGCACAGTAATTCAGCAAAATATAAATACCATAAATCATGACAATGACCAATGCATTGATTAAAGCAATCTTTGAGTTAAAGACCAGAAGTAGATTTAAGTAAGGTACAGAGCAATTATCAAAGGAAATGGGATGAGGGATGAAAACGTTACCATGGATGAGCATAAAGGGATTTTGAATATGGTAATTCTATTTCTAAAGCAGAAAAGCAAGTAAGTGGATATTTGTTTTTTTCTTTTTTGTACTTTAGGTACATGTATACATGTTACATATATGAAAAGGTGCATAAGAATAATATATTTCATTAAGAAAAATTAGATGCAGGAGATAAAAATAAGGGCAAACAAAAAAAAAGGGGCAGGAAAAAACCCAATTTAATAAAGAACAATATTTGCCTGTATACTATCTAGAATTTGGTCTGTTTCTGTAAATAGCGTATTTCAAGAAAGTAATACACTAGAGAACACTTGGGAGACTAAACCCTCAACAAAGTGGAGAACACATCTCAAAACACTGCTAAGTAAATTATGTGCTTGGTAGTTATAAAATATAGCATTATACAAACTATTTGATGTAATGTAAAGTAATGAGCTAGTCACATAAGTTTTATTTAACTTGATTAAAAATCAATTACATTAATAATCACAAAATTAAATTCAAAAATAAAAAATTATTCTGACCACATAAACTTTTTAACTGCAGTACTAAATAATACAATCATGATATTAAACTGGACAAAAAATACTTGAACATAAGAATTAATAAGCTTTCCACTGATTTAAAAATCAATATGGGTCCATACTCTACCCAACCATTGATTGTAATCTCTAGCTAAAAGTAAGTAAAGAGGTTATCGAAGAAGAATCTTGAACTTAATTTCTTCATGTTTAAAAAAACAAGGAAAAGAGATTTTGATTTCAGATAATTCTTTTGGACTCAAAAATGTTGGATTTTTGTTTAGATTTAATCCCCAACTTTAATTCCTCCTCAGGAAATGTAATAGGAAAAGGTTTACATTTAACTCTGTGGCATATATAATGCTTACATTTTATTAATGAAGTACCTCTATGCACATTGCAATTGGAATATTTATATATATCCCACTGTAACTTAATCTCATCACAAAGTATTTGACAAACTTTGTTTGCCAATGTGGCTAGATACTCTAGGATAGGAAAAAAGAGCAGTTTCTTAACTCTGGTCACAAACTGTCCATAAGCGTTAATTTACCTTTCCAAGAGGAAGACTTTCCAGAAAAATTCCTGTTTCTAAGTCCTAATTCCACTCATGAAAACAATAAGCTTCCTGATAAATGAATTTAGGGAAAGAATTTATTTGCAAAGCCAGCACCTTTTCCCCTTTCTCTTTGGGAGCTAGCTATCCACAAAAATCAAGCATTCTTGTCTGCTCCTCCATGCTGTCAACTTCACAGGAACAGACTCCCCAACAGAGGTAGAAGGGGGACCTGTGCAATGCCAATTGTGTGGGTATGTTTGTCTAATTCCTAAGGAAGTCCTTTGTGCTGCTCACTTAGACCACCTCATCAATCCAGTCTTTTTCAATTAAAAGGATGATACTGAGCTTTAAAAATAAATAAATCTGAGTAAAACTACTCAAAAAAGAAATGCAAAATGGCCAAACATGAAATTACATTCAATTATACTAACAAAAAAGGTAAACAAAACACTTTTCACCTATCACACTGACAAAAAACAGAACATCAAGTGTTGGTCAGCACTTGTGATAAATGAAATTTCTCTTAAGATATTTGGTAAGACCATGAAGTAGTATACTCTTTCAAGGGTAATCTGTCATTTGAAATGAATATACCTTTTAATAAAGCAATTCCATTTCTGGGAAATTAGCTGAAATCAAGAAAGGGTACAAAGATGTCTGTATAAAATGTTCACTATAGATTTGCTGATAACTGTACTTAAGAAAATAACATTGACATTCATTAATATGGGATGATTACATTATGGTACAGCTATACAAAATAACGTAAAATTGTTAGAAATAAGGTAAATCTGTATGTATTGATGTGAAAAGAAGTCCACCATGTTTTAAATATAATTTTATGTGCACATATAGAGAACAGGTAAAATAAGCCTAAAAAAGAAAATTTTTCAGTTTTTCCATGTTTTAACTTAAAAGGAAGAAATCAGCCTGCCTGTTATTAAATGAGTGCTTAAAAAGGGTAAAAAAGAAAAATGACTTCTCACACTCTAAAAGTGGGAGTATCAATTTGTAAAGTCACTTTGGAGAAATCTTCTCAACTAATATCCTATGACCTAGCTATTCCACTTGTCATCTGTACTAGAGAAAGGCAGACATAGATAAAGAGGTGTGTATAACAACGTCGTCTGAAACAACCAAAAGGTTGATCAATAGGTAAATGACTAAATTAACTACATCAGTTGTATTTATGGACCACTTCAAAGCAATTTTTTTAAGGGAGTTTAGATTAAAAAAGATAAACCTCATCACAAGAAAAAAATGTTTGTAACTATGTATGGGGATGGATGTTGACCAGACTTAAGTGGTGATCATTTCATAATGTATACAAATATTAAATCAAATGTTGTAGACCTGAAACTAATGTTATATGTCAGTTATATCTCAATAAAAAAATCTCACTAATTATAAAGAGAAAAAAATAAAGGATCAACTGAAACTTTAAATGAAAAAAGGAGGATGATATTATGTTCTAAGACACTATTTTTGAAAGTAATTACATAGAAAGCTCTGAAAGGATTCAGTAAGCTGGTAACATCTTTTTCTGAAGGGTCATAAAAGTTCTGTTTTTTTAATAAGGAGAATGCACTTCTGTACCATTTATACAACTCAAAATGTTATTAGGGTAAAACGTAAGCTTATTTGAGGTTTCTGGGAAGCAGACACTGGGAGGAAAGAGAGTTGATGTCATCAGAGAAGACTAAGAATGAAAAAGATGGAAAAGTCAATATTTTTATATAACATGTTTCATGAGTAAAAGAACTGAAATTACATTAGAAAGCTAATTTTTAATATGCAAAATGTAGTCATGGCTACAGTTAAGTGATTATTAAGTCCCATACTGTGATTTTAATAAAGATTTCCAAAATAGAATTTTTAAAAAATACTTTAAAACACTTCAAACAAGATTAGGACAGATTGGGGGGCAATTCTTTCTGGTCTCCTGACTGAAAAGACTGCACTGACACTATCCTAGGTCTCTTGGGTGGGCAGGCTTTGACGGAGAAGAGGGCCTTACCTAGTTACCAGAAACAGCAATACACAGGCCAGAACCATCCCAAAAGTGGAGAAACTGTCTCACAAGGGCCAAAGAAGCAAGAATGCCTTACTTACAGATCAGTTAGAACTGCAGGTTCTGACAGAAAAAATTCATGATGATCAGTACTGAAAGACTCTCCTGGTTTCCTATAATGTTTCTATCTCTGGTAACAAACTTTCTGGCAAAATTTAGTGGATAGAATCCCTATACCTCGTTAAGTGACAGTAAATCCAGGTTTGGCCAAGAGAGATGTGTTTTAAGTCTGTTATTCCAACATAATTAATATTCTTGTCTTTCCCTCTCAAGAGTATCCAGGTTTTTAGGATAAATTATAAAGGTCCCCTGGCTATGCAACACAGAGAAGACAACTAGTGATTTTACAGCACCTTACTACATTGATGGACAGTGACTGTGAAGGGGTATGTAGGGGGGTCTTGGTGATGGGGAGGAGTCTAGTAAACATAATGTCCTTCATGTAATTGTAGATTAATGATACCAAAATAAAAAATAAATAAATAAATGTTTTTAAAAATTATAAAGGCCCCCTACCAAAAGGACTATTTATACTAATTTAACACTCCCTAGTTTGCACCTACTCGGAACCTTAAAGGTCCTCTGCTCCTATATTATTCTTGAGGTTGCAAATTTACCTACAAAATAGGATTCTAACGTGCCCAGATTATACAATGGCACTCTAGCTTTTAAGAACTGGAAGATATTAATATATCCACTTTATTCATTAGGAGGCTCAGAAATCTTGTCAGAAGTCAACTAGCTGGTAAGTAACAATATCTGGACTAGAACCCAAGTCTCTCAGAACAGTGCATTTCTACACCATAATCTTTTAAAGTCAACTGCAAATAGAAGATGTGTTAGGACAGTGTAGAATCAGTACTGGGGAGAGACTATAAAGTTACTGCAAGTCTGAAGAATGGTATGCATGCAGGCACAGAAAGTGTTGCCTACAGAGAGACACCAGTAACACTGAAATTCCCATGAATCGCACATACATCAAGCATCACCTTGGTTCTTAATATCCAAAGATTAAGATCCCCAATGAAGGTACCTGTAGGTTGATTATATTAAACAAGGTCATTTCCAGTTAAAATTCCTGAGTCTCACCTTGAAAGTTTTAAAGCCTGTCAAATTTATTTTATAATCAGAGTTCTTCTTTTTTTTGTTTTTATTCACTGAATGTAACATGTGTGTCTAAGTCTAGAAGTAGGGAAGTATGACAGCCACTGAGAGTGATCAGGGCTTTCTCTTTGCTAAATTTTATAGAGGTTTTTGCTCTTAAGATTTTTATTTTCTTCAGTTAGTAATAGCAGTAAAATGCAGCTAGGAATGATGGTGGTATTATATTTAGAGCAAATTTTTTCTGCAAGTGTCAAAATTTACCAAGAATGGATTAGTATTACCATGCAAAAGCTAAAAAAGATCAATCAACATTTACCTTTAATATTAGAGTTCCTCTTAAGAAACATTAATATTTCAATATAATGTATTGAAATACATTAAAAAATGTATCAACTTACATTTTACCATACCCTTTATCTCATGATTCTCACAACCTTGTAAACATCTCAAATTTTCCCCATTCTGTTAACCTTTAAGAAAAAGTGAAGATTTGCAAAACAATTGTAATTTCTATATCAAAAGTTCAACTAACTTGCTACAATTTAGCAAGTCAAACTAGGAAACAGTGCTTTTTGTCTTAGTTTTGTTTAGTATTTCCATTTAAAAAAAGAAAAAAAACCTCCAGTTGCTACACCCAAAATAAACCACCAAGGGCCACACTGCATTGGTCTGCATTCAAATGTAGTGGCATAATCTAATCTTTAAAGGTTAAGAGGACTAATTGAATGTCAGAAGACTACCATTTACCTAATATGCAATCAACTCTCATGTCAACTATCCTATTTCAATTATTTTCCACGACAACCTTTACTCAAAGCATTTTAGTAACATTTTAGCTCCACAGTACACAGTTCATTTGTTATATGCCGTTTAGCAGCGTTTTGAAAACAGATCTTCGGCTAAGCAATCACTTAACATTAAAAAATCAGTATCGGGCTTCCACTTAGAAATAAATCCCCTTGCTCTGACTTGCTTCATCCCTTTTTTAAAAGTCCACAGAAACTTCTCTATAGGATGAACTGCAGTATCTACCGAAACCTAGCTTTCACAGTCACTAACACGTGGGAGCAAGAAACAATCGAGGCCGTGGCAGCTGAGAAGCTCAGCTACTTTACCCACTCCGTGCCCCTACCAGTCAAGGAGAGCCGAGGTCCCACCTCTTCCTGCCGCTCCCTTCCCCGATGCCCATTTATGTAAATAGACAGAGTGAATGACACCTTGGAACTAAATACCTCCGACTGACAGGGACCGGAGGCCTGCCCCTCCCCCAGCCGCGGCCGCCAGCGAGGGGTCCCTGCACACACCCTGCCGATGCCCCCCTCAGAGGAACCACAGACCTGATTCCAGGGATTCTAGTACGGGTGGCAGCGAACAAGTCCCTGCGAGGGGCAGGTGCTGGGAAGGTTTTTTCATCCAAGGGTTCTCCTTAGGCGGCGGCGGCGGCGGCGGCGGCAGCTTTTCCTCAGGGCCGGCGGTCTCCTTGGGGGCGTCCGCGTTCGGCGGGCCCCGAGACAGGAGTGGCGGCGGCTCCCCGTTGAAGGGATCCCCCGGCCCGTGCGCCCTGCGCGCCAGGTGCAGCGCTAGAGGCCTCACCGGCACGGCCTCCTGGGGCACGCTGTGTCCCAGCACCTGCGCCGGCGACGGCTCTCCCCGCGCCCCTGCGCTGCTGGCGGTAGCGGCCCTCTCCTCTCTCGCCGTCTCCTTGCCTTCCCTTCCGTGCAGGGGTACCTGCTGGGCCTGCCGGCTCGCTGAGACGGACAGCGGCTCCCTCTCAGCAGCCATCGCGGGCGACTCCTCCCGGGAGTGAGCAGAGGGCACCGGGGAGCGAACAGACATCGTCCCCTTGCCCCAGCCGCCCCAGCCCTCAGGGGTCTGGGGTCAGGGAGTCCGGCTGCCCGTCTCTCCGCCGGGGCTGGACGCAAGAACCCGAAAGTCCAGCCGCCGTCACCACCGCCACCCACGTCGGCCGAGGCCGTGCAGCGTCCGGCGTACCGCTCCTCCCTGCGTCGAACGAAGCGCCAAACGCCCGCTGGCTCAGCGCCCCTCCGCGACGCACGCCCCAAGCCAGCCAACACGCGCAGGGCGCCGCAGCCAGGGGCCGCGAGCCCTCACCCGGCGCGGACCGCGTTGAAGATGCAGCGAGCCGAAGCTGGAAGACCTCTAGGGAAGACGGGCAGGCGCGCGCCCGAAAAGCGGGTAACAGCTTGCGGGGACGGGGCGGGGCGTGGAAGGGGCGGTCCCAGGGGACGGAGCAGGGGCGGGGCCTCCCTGAGGAGAGTGACGTGGCTGCTCCCCGGCCGCTGCCCGCGTCAGGCCTTCGCCTACCGTGCGAGGCAAACGAGCCGCCCGGGTGCAGCCGGGCCTGAAGGCCGCCCCTGCTCCAGCGGCCAGCGGAGGAGGAAGCGACGGCGAACGGAAAGATTTCCCGCCTCGTTAACTACGGCAGCCCGGGCTGCGGGCGCGGGGGCGTGGCTCGCACCGGGCCTCTGTGACTCGCGGCGGTGCGGCGCAGAGCTTCGCGGGCAAGGGGCGGGGCGGGCTATGCACGTGGCTCCCGCGGGCTGGCGCTTTGCCTCAGGCCCTGTAGCAGAGTTGTTGTATCGGAGCGGGACGGGATCTTCTCCGCCAGGTACCCTGGGCACCTCTGCAAAGGGCCGGGGTCGCGGACTGGGCCACTTTACCCCCTGAGTCGGTCGCCTCGCAAGGCTCTTTGGGGTGCCGCGGTCACCTCGAGCCACGTCTAGAATGAAAACAGTGTTATCTGTAGGTAACTGTTCACAAAACCTTTGCCCAGGCAGTTGGTTTAGTGCACTTTCCCATCCCTTTTTCCACCCACAAACTGAAGTATTTTTTAAAGTACTTTTGTGTAAAACAAAAAGTTAAAAACAAGTGAAGATATTTGGTTACAATAACCATGTACCAAACCTCCTTGTGGAATGGATACAAAGAAGGTACAAGTATGGTTTGATTATATAAGAGCTTTTCACTTGGCACTCATCTGGTGGGTGATGATACTGGTTTCGAGTGCGTGTGTTTGTGAGTTCAGGTTTTTGTTCCAGCGCAAGGTCGCTGAAAATGGGTTTGGCCCAGTGGACATTTTTTTCGCAGAGGGATGGCTCGGCTCCCTCCACAAGGGTATCCACCAGCCATTTGTTAGGGACTTGGCAGTGGGTCCCTACGGGCTTCCTTCAGGACTGCCGAACTCGGCAGAGAGTTTGCAGGGGACTCACCTCCCACGAGCCTCACTCAAATCACATTTAACTTGAGGTTAATTTTTTTTTTTTACTTAAAAGTTGTATGATTTCAGCATTTTATTTAAATAATAATAATAAGGGAGAAATGTGGGATTCACATATAAATCAAGTATAAAAATCAAACAAATAATCATATCTGACTTGATTGTTTATAGTTCATGATGCGTGATCAAAACCGAACATTTCTGTGATATGACTGCCCTTGCACTGTTCACCATGTAAGAACTTATTCACTATGTAAGAACTTGTTCACCATGTAAGAACTTGTTTGGTATGCTTCAGAAGATTGGAGACTGTTGAGAATTAGGCTTGGGGTTGATTAATGATTGTGCATTGAGTCCCCTACACGAATTTTATTGTTGTTAACAACCATTTGATCAATAAATATGAGAGATGCCCTCTCAAAAAAAACTAAAAAAATTAAGGAAACTTTCATAAAGCAAATAATTCTTGACTTGGCTCTGTAAATTCAGTGATCTTAAAGTGGAATGTACATTAATGAACAATTAAATTAACCCCAAACAATGTAAAAAAAAAAAGTTGTATGAGGCATACATTTTTTATTTTCCTAAGGCTAATAAGCTATCCATATGTTACATCAACTGTCTCAACAATGCCTTTCTTGTTTTCCCATATCACTAATTTCCAATTTACTTAATCCTAAACAACCTCCCAACCTGTTTTCAATTAAATAATGACTTTATTTCCACCTGTATTCCGAGAGAGGCGCCATCTCTACTAGCTCATTATTGGTGAAGCTTTGTGTTAAGTACCAAGTAGATGCTCTTCCTGTTATAATCAGCCCTTTGGAGTCCTGTCAAGTAATGCTTGACTCTTTTACAAAAGCTTGTCAACAAGTTCACGATTGATATGACTCAGAGTACATTCTGTTTTACCATCTACTCAAATACATACAAATTAAAGACATTCATTTGAGAAAAAGATTATGTACAGTGGTTCTCCAAAGTTAGATTCATATGGGCTACCTAACCATGATTGGTGGTTTTGTTTGTTAGTTTTTTTTTAATTGAAAAATAGTAAGGGTGCTTTACTGAAGAAATACAGATGGACTTTCTTACAAATAGGTTTTACTTGCAGGAAGAGAAGAACTGAGGGTAAATGTATTCAAAAGTTCTCTAAAGAATTCAACAGTGGGTGTTTGGGATCTTCACTGTAGTGCAGCACCACTAATGTCAGTGAAGGAAATTAGCAATTTGTTGTTCCTCTTTTAAATGCATATTAGTAACTGTGATAAAATGAGAGTTCCTATGGCCAGGATTCTCACCTGGCCGTGGTTGACTAGCTCACTGCATATCTGTGGACAATACATGACTGTTGACTCTATAAAAAGAGCTCCGCTGAGTGCTCTGGCACAACACAGTGGCAGGGCTGCAAGGCTGCAGAAGAGCAGAGCAGAGGCTAGAGTAGTGGCAACGCTGAGGACAGAGGTCCAGAGGACGGCTGTGCAGGACGGCTGTGTGTGATGGCTGTGTGGACAGAGGAGCCCAGAGGCAAAGAATGACTTGCTGCATGCAGACTCGTTCTGAGTGAATGGGATTTTAGTGACTGACCTGCCACCTGGAAATAAATTGGGTCTAACCCCTTCACCCCAAGAACGTTTTGCTGTCTATTTCTTTGGTCACACTGAATCCATAGTGAACTTGCCCGGGGCTAAAACCCATTGGCAAGACAGTAACTCTTGGCTTCCACATAACTGCCTCTTGGAGACAACTTCACCCATGTTCTACTTGCCCCTCCGTATCTGCTTTCTGCCCTTTTTCAGAGAAGGCTCACCTGTCCAGATTGTACCAATTGATTTCCTTGCCCTCTTTGGTATCTCGATGGGTTCTCTTGGTGGAAAGTACCTGCAGGAGACTGGAGGCCATACGGCAATGAGGTCATAGTCCTTATTCCCCAAGCTGGGTCACCAAGGATTGACTTCTGAGCCCTCTCTTTCAGTTAATTTCTCCAGTCCTTCCCTTTGTCCTTTCAGGCCTGGGAGTAGCAACCTCTAGCCCTTGGGGTATTGCATTACCTCATGTTGGTTTCCCTGACTCTTGCTTGCACCTCTATAAATGGCCCTTTTAATAACTTTCTTCAAATATGCAGTTTGCGCTTTCTATCTGATTTTGATGGGACCCTGACTGACCCAATTTGCTGTTGCTGAACCTCCATCATGTTAAGTCATTTGGCCTCTGCTGCTAACTGCCAGATTCTTTCTCTGCTTCTTAGTTCAAAATCGAGGAAGAAAGACTAATTGCCTCGGTTTCTTTTTTGTAGCCAAAGTCATTATCCACCCTGTGGATTATTTGCTGTTGGGTAAGGTCCCCATCTAGCCTGAAGGAACAAGTTATTTGGCTCAAAACACTGCCATCAAGTCAGTGGGTGTGGGAGAGCTGGTTGTAGGAATGTGGGAGATGTACACCCTCTAAGTAATTTTCTTCCCTTTTCCCTATCTTAGTGAATGACACCACCTAACAATTCACATAACCTAAAAATCATCCCTTCACCCCTCCCCACCTTTCCCTTCACCCTCCATGATCCATTCATTTATAAATATTTCTTAAGCATCTACCAGGCAGTATTCTAAGCACTCACCAAGATCAGTCAGTTGTACCTCCTAAGTGTCTGTTAAATTCTGCTTTTTCTACTTGCCACCACACTGCTCTAAGCTGCCATCATGCTTCTGTAATACTGTTACAGCCTTTTAACTGTCCTCTCTGCCACCACTTAGACCTATTTGATAAAATGATCATGAGGATTAATGTGAAAGTATGTATAAAATGCTTACCAAGAAACCTCAGGTCAATAATATACCTATTTTTTATTGCTTTTAAATATGAAGATTTAACCAAGGTAAGTGACCTTAGCTTTACTGAACTACTGAGGTTAGAAGCCTGATTTTTCTTTTTTCTTTTGTAATGGAAAACTGGAATCTAGAGCATAGGTTTAGGGTTATCTTTTCAAGGAAGGGGAAGGGTCCTCTAGGTCCCCAAGAGTTATGAAACACCTAAAGTAATTATCCTTATACAAACTTGATGATCACATTGTTCAAGGGATCTTTTAAAAGCTGAATCTTGTTTTTCTGTTTAGAATATGCTAATATGCCATCAGATGATTGAGCCCATTCCTTCTCCCCGTCCCCCTGGTGTCTCAGGAAATTAAAGTCCCATGACAACATCAAGATCTTTTTTTTTTTTATTACCAGTGCAATTTAGGACCAGGCTGGTAAAACCTAAAGTGCAAATAGCTGTACTATATGTATGCTAGAGAAATTTCAAAGAATGCTGTAGATATAATCTGTTTCAAAGTCCTACAGTCCAAGGAGAAGATAAAACAACCCAGATATTTTTTTTACCTTCCTATTAAATAATGACTTTAAAAAAGCAGACTTTTAACAAGATATATTGAACAATCATCAACTCTGAGTTGCAGAGCCTTGGACCCTGTTTATCATAAAAATAGCTCTCATTGTGAGCTAAATATTTGGATGTGTACTAAATACTTCCAATTATCTCTTAAGATTCAAGGCAAGGTCAGTGTGTGTTTGAAAGGCTTTGCACCTTCCCTTCAATAAACACAGTATTCAATCTTATAGTAAAAAAAAACACCTTTAGAAAATTTTGCTCTTTTTAATTTCCTGTATCATACAAATAGGTGAAAACACTATGCTTGCTATACAAACATAGTTTCAAAACAGATCTAGGCTTTCAAACAGATTGCTGTTCCTAAGGAGGTAGTAGCTCTCTTTACTTTAGGTAGGTATTAATGGGCTGCTATAACAGAAGTAGGAACTCTCAAGAGTTTGTGTTTTGCCTAAGAACTATCAGCCAATAATAGGATTGCTACTCAAAACTGTCTGATATTTCCTGCCACACTTTTTAGTCATTTTCTTTTTTACAATTTGTAATAATACAAATAAGAAAATATTTAATATTTCTAAAAAGCACTCTAAAAATAAACCCAAGG